GGGAACGGTAGTAGTTGAGCAGGCCCTTGATGGTGTCCTTGCGTCTGTTGATCTCGAGCCAGCGGGCCTTGTCTTGTTCTGTGAGGAAGGGGGGGAGAGGGCATGTCTTGTCAGATGTCAGCCATTCTCGTGTTCCGTTGATCGCTGCAAGACCTGTTATCCATAGGGCATTGTCGTCGGCGTATGCAAGATGGAAGAATGACTCTAGCTACAACAAGTCAGTGAATTGGTTCAACAGGACTGGGTCAGGCACATACATGATCAAGAATAACTCGCTCAGCATCATAAGAGTTGAAGAAGTACCAGTAGCCCAACTGCATATACCCAAGCTCCTTCTGACTCCAGACATTCAATCCATCAATGTCAAAGAATACCCCAGGCGCTGTATAGCCAGCTGACATGAACACCAGCTTGGAAAATCTCTCAGGATGCCAAACAACAACTCTAGACATGACCATAGATCCCCAATCATGTGAGACACCGATGACTTTGTCAATCTTCTCATGATCTAGCAATTCTATACAGTGCCCACTGAGACGCTTCAAATTGTAAGCCTCAAGGTCAGCGCGCTTGTCTGAATCGCCATAGCCGAGACAGTCTGGGGCAATGACTCCATAGCCTGCATCTGAGAGGTCCTTTAATTGATATCGCCAGTCGTAGCGCGAAGATGGGCAGCCGTGGATGAAGAGAAATGTTTCTTTGTTGTCTTTAGCTGGGATGTAGTCATAGGCGTAGGTATCACCATCACTCGTGGTGAATCGCTTATCGAAATTGTCCATGACGGAAAGAAGTAAGCGCCAACAACGAAGTTTGCGAATCAGAGGCAAAACGCTAATTGAACTGTGATTGTTGGAACCTCTTTGTCCGAGCAAAGAGAGCACTGAAAGCCGAGCTATAAAAGCTGCGGGTAGCTGTACGCTAAAACTCAGTGAGCCGTTGCCTGTTCTTCTCACTGTCAAGGGTATTCAGTGGCCCCGCCCTCAGACATCAGCCCCTACGTCTTTCTCGGACAGAGCATTACTACAGTGACAAAACCATCTCCAGCAAAGCAGACAGCGCTGACAACCTGGGCTCATAACCAAATTCCGATATCAAGATCACAGCTCTTCGCAATATGGCATCGAAATTAGAGCCTCTTCCTCCTAAAATGCCTGCAGCATCAATGGACCACGGAGAAGCTCTTCAAAGCACCGGAGAAAGGCGAGTCGAAAAGTCCGAGCATGCCTCATATACTGACCTAATTGACTTCCCAGTAACGAGCACTCAGATCTCAAAGCCAAAGAAGATGGCATAGCCTTCTGGAGGAAGCACACCAAACCGGTTCTCGCATCCCTTCTCAAATCAGTCGGAGACTACACTCCCGAACAACAAGATGCTCATCTCGAGTTCCTTGACAACTATATCATCCCGACCATGGGGCGTGCGCCTGGAAAGGACCGCGCAAGATCACTCCTGACCCCAAATGGCTCACCATTCGAAACCAGTCTCAACAATAGTGACAGCGGCAAGTCATACGTCCGTTTCTGCTACGAACCCGTGTTTCCAGGCTCAGATGGTGTCACTGAAGATCCCATTCCAAGAATCGCCGAGAAGACTGGTGCTGATCTCCGCTGGTTCAATCAGTTTGCCGCCGAATTCTATCCATCGGAGGAAGATGCTGTGAATTTAGCGGAGAAGATGCCGAAGGACACTATTCGTATACCTAAAGTGTTTCTAGCTTTTGATCTCAAGGAGGACAAGCAGACTATGAAGGCGTATTTCTACCCTGTTATCAAGTGGATGACAGCAAAGCAAAACTCGGATAGAGCTGGGTTTGACCTCATCCGACGACTAGATCCTCTAGGTCCATCATTTGGGCCGGCCATCGACATGATCGAGCGGTACCAGAGCAAGTTGTATCAAGACCCGCCGCTAACTGTGGTTATTGGCATTGACTGCGTGAGTCCCGAAGAAGGCGCTCGAGTCAAGATCTACATCGAACCCCAGTCCAACACTTGGGAAGCGGTTGTGCAGCACGTCACCCTGGGAGGTCAAGTCACAGACAACACGACAATGGAAGGTCTAGCGATTCTTCGCGATATGTGGCATATACTCATAAACGAGCTAGAGGATAAGGTATTTGATGAGAAGTTCTCAAAGAAGATACTAGAAGACAAACCAGATGTTAGCGGAGCGTGCTTCAGCTGGGAGCTCAGGCCTGGCCAGGACATCCCCGAGGTCAAGATTTATGTCCCTTTGAATCAGTATTTCAAGAACGATAAGGATGCTACAGAAGCCATGGAGAAGGTCTTTCGGAAGAGAGGATGGACTTGGGGCATAGAGGGCACATATAAGAAGATTGTGTCGGATGCATAGTAAGTTCCTACTGATCAAGACGGCCATGATACTAACAACCGTAGTGGGAGCGATGTTGTCGATGATACGGTTGAGACACCAACTGAGCATACCTTTGTCTCATTCAACTTCTCGCAGAAGAAGGGGGTTTATATGACAACTTACGTAGCACCGTTTGTGAGGTTTCCTTAATTGGGTATTGTGATGCTGGAGAACCGTACTTAATAAGAGAAGATTGGGATTAATGTCTTACAATATCGTACTAAACTTTACAACTGTGAAATATCACTCTCGGGAAATGTTTAGCCTTCTAAGCAGAATCACCTGGACTCTTGGCCCTCTTCTCAGTCTCTACAACCTCTATATCCGGTGTAATGGGCGCATCGATCTGGGAAGTAAACTTCTCGGTAGGGTCGCGTAGAAAGAAAGCGGCTAAGATGAATGGTTAGCAATCAAATCCGTGACGACGTTCCCTTGGCATTGTCATCCACTCACCGATGCTGGCGACGAGACATAGACTCGCAGTGGTCAACCAGACACCACGAAAGCTTACGCGGTAGGCTTCCAGAAGACCATCAACGCCAGCGCGAATTATTTCTGGAGAAATGCCGTTGATATGCTTGAGAGCCACTGTATCGTTATGGGCAAGGGCTGGTATGAGTTGAGGCAACTCCCTTTCGGGGAAGCCAAGTGGCAAGACGGCATGAGATATCTTGGGTCCCAAGTTGGATGAAACCCCGTTAGAGAAGATGGCGTTAAAGATAGCCAAACCAATAGATCCCCCCAAGCTTCTGATAGAAATCATAAGACCAGATGTAATTGCGATCAATTCTCGAGGTGTTGCAAAATGAGCTACTGTAATCAGTGCTGGCATGCAAACACCCAATCCGAGACCGAGAGCTATGGGGTACATCCAGAGGAGGGCTTGAGGCGTGGACTTGGAGACAGCAGCCATCAGGACCATGAACAGAATCTTGAAGCCAAATGCCAAGATAATGGGGAAGCGCAAAGCCTTACTCATGGAACACCATATACCGCTCACGATGGCAGAGATGCCCAGAGCGATGAAGGCCATACTGTACTGGGCGCCGATGATGAGACTATCAGTTGCGAAGAGAACACTGACTTCAAAGGCAAAATAGTTGTTGCCACAGTGGAATGCCATGCCCTCGGCAAAGACGCAGCCCAAAGCGAGTGCAAAGTTTCGATCGCGAAAGAGGCGATGATGAAACATGCCGTTCTTTTTGATCAATGTCTCATAGACGATAAGGGCTACTCCAGAAAGTATGCCGATGAGGAAAGTGGCCAGCACATGCGCATCGGTCCATGAATATGGGTTGCCGCTCCAAGCAAGAGACATGCAGAAGAGGACAAGCGCAGGAGTCAAGAAGCCGTACCCGACCCAGTCCAGGTTACGCATTTTCTCTGACACGCTGAGGATAATTTCCAAGGCTCTTGGAGGTGGGTTGTAGAACAACTGACATGCGACTGTTGCAACTGCATATAAGCCAGCGACCATGTACCAGTGGGCCCTGAAACCATCGTGGTGCTCATGTCTAGTGAGCACGCCGCCTATCAAAAGACCGACAATTGCTCCCAGGGAAGCAGCAACATTGATACTTCCCTGTGCCCAAGGACGATACTTGCGAGCGACGACCTCGGAGGAAATGGCGTGAAGAAGCGGTTGCGCACCAAACGAAACGCCTGATACGGCGAACCCGGCGATGACCGTGCCGGAAGATGAAGCTTTAGCGATAATGAGAGAGCCGATGAAGCCGCAGCTCGTTAAGAAAACGAGGATCCTCTTACGACCCCAGAGATCGGCAGCTTGGGAAGCGGGAATGCCGAGAAGAGCTGTCAAGATTGCGATGACTTCACTGTACCAGACTGAGTCATTGGAGCCGCCAACGACAGCGGAGATGTCTCTGGTCAAGGCACCGGATCCAACGACATTGGCAACTTGGACAAAGTAGACAAGATTGATAGACTGCAAGTAGCTTGTCAGATCAGAATTGCTGGAAGGATGAAGGCCGTCTTACAAGTAGCAACAGCAGACTCTTGTTAGAAACATTATTATTCTCCTTAGCTTCACCAGCCCTTTCGCTGTACTCGCACGAAGATCTGTCAGACATGATTAAAGAGTATATAGGTCAAAACGAATGCCGTGAAGGAAATCCAGCCCAAGAAGATTTCTGGAAATCTGTGTTCGTAGTTATAAGCCATGAGGACACGGCACGCAGGGTCCTGCGCATTGACGTCGTATTTCCATCTTGAACCTTATTTTGGCGCATTAATCCTTAGTTTCATGATGTTGATGTTTCGAACAAAAAAGGTCATGGCGCAGACTTGCCTATTGCGTTATGCCTTCTAGCATGGGCGGGCGTAACCTTCGTGCGATAAGCAACGCGCTTTGACAGATATACTCGGAGGGTTGCCTCCGTTTTGAATTGACCAGTTTTAGTTCTCTTTTGTTGATGCAGTTACGATACAGGCCATATTTACTCAAGCATAAAGGAGGGAGATTGTTTTGGTCTTAATCGATCGGTCGCATTTCTCAATGTCATCATCATCAATCGGGATTTATCTGGTCTGGACAATGGCATGAATAACAGTAATTAGAAAGGTGCTTGGACTCTATTTGATCTACCGCATGTTCTAGACACACTCTACTGGCTTCCTTTGAAAATCTTGGAAAAATCATGCTCATTCCAGTACATGGTCGGCTTCAAGCCCGCCAGCTTCCATTCCCCATCAACCTTTGCATAAGTATGTTGCATAACGGCATGGCAGTGGCCCTTGGCCTCAACAGTCTTCTTATCGGGCCCTGTGTATCGCTGGTGGGCAGCTCGGAACTGGTGAGTACCGATTATGCGACCATCGGAAAGAGCTTCGTATTTGGAAGCTCCGATGAAATGCTGGCTGACAACAAGAGGGTCGCCGACAAATCCAGGATCTGAGACCATGGCGACAAAGTCTTTGGCTGGCATGGCATCCCACTTCTCACCGGTTACGACAGTGTAATCGACCTTAAGGATACTCTATTAGCGGCAATAATGTTTAGTGATTTTCGGGAACTCATACAACTAGTTCCGGGGCGACGATGCTGGCCAAGCGATCCCAGTCCTGTGAATCGGTTAGATGGTTTTGGTCTTGCCCATGGTATAACTCTACAAACCTTTGCGTCGAGGCTATCTCCCCAGTCGAAAGTGATTGCAGCAACCTGAAGGGCATCTGTTTTATTTCATCTATTATTAACGTTTGGTCGGAACGAAGGGCAGCTAGCTGATGGTTTGAGGGTCACTAACCGGCGGGATCAACTCTTGAAGCGACCATGGCGCCGGTGTATGAGTATTGAGTAATGAAAGATATGGAGCTTTTGATTAACAATTCTAGATGTAAACGGGGATAAATGATCTTGATCGGTTCAAGGACAAACTGGGCAATTATGAAAAGTCAGGGAGAGAAGCAATCACTCTCTCTTATGAACTACGGAACTTCCGATCTCATTCCGTCTGTATCCCGATAGCGGATCTCCCACGCCGCTAACTAAATTTGGTCAAGTTCGCCAATTAACACCATCTGTCGGGGCACGGGGAATATAAGTTTGAGCCGGCTTCGATATGCAGCAACAACTGCCGAGAACCTTGATACCAGCTCGGCAGGTCCGGCAGTGTACGAGCGGAGAAGTTGAATCAGGATATGTCCAAATCAGAAGCATCTTAAAGAATGGTCTTTACCTGCATTTCATTACTCTAATGCATCTATATCTTCTAGAGGAGGATCCTTGAATCAAATCAACTCACCGTGTAATATACCGAAATCATGCCAACTAACCTAACTGCTCAACCCCAAAAAATCCAGGAGCTATTCCCTGATGCTGTCATATCCAAAATCACTCCAGCACCTGAGCATCCCCGTTTCAATTACGACGGCTTCAAACCAGGCCGTCGAGTTCTAGAAGCAGGTCATGTCCGCTATCCGGGTCGCAGGCCATTCGGTGTACCAACTGTATATGAGCGAGACCAAGCCATTACAGTTCGCGATGGCGCTCGTCTATACGCAGATATCTTCCGCCCCGAAACGTCAGATACACAGCCTGTTCCATGTATCCTTCCGTGGAGCCCATACGGTAAAACTGGTACGGGACCTCAGAACTACGACTTCATGGCTCCTTATCGAGCGGGCATCGCGCTTGATCGCACATCAGGTTATGAGAAGTTCGAGGCTCCCGATCCCGCTGAGTGGGCTGAGCGTGGCTACGCTGTTTTAAACATCGATGCTCGTGGTGCTGGACATAGCGAAGGAGTCATTGCACGCTGGGGCATACAAGAAGCAGAGGATGTTTACGATGTCATCGAATGGCTGTCTAAACAGCCTTGGTGTAGCGGCTCCGTCGTTATGGCAGGAAATTCATGGTTAGCCATATCGCAGATCAACTTCGCTTCCAGAATGCACCATCCTGCACTGAAAGCGATTGCACCCTGGGAAGGTTATACGGATCTGTATCGTCACTATGTTGCCAGAGGAGGACGTCCCCATATTCCTGGCTTTCACCGGATGATCTCAAATGGACTAGCGGGGCCTGAAGGTGCTGAGAACGTTGTCGCTATGCTTGAGAAGCATCCGCTGTACGACAACTACTGGGAGGCCAAGAGAATTCCTGTTGAGAACATCGACAATATTCCTCTGTACGTTGTTGCTTCATACTCAAGTATGTTGCACACGTATGGCTCGTTTCAGACTTTCCGACAAGCCAAAACAAAGAAGAAATGGCTTCGTGTCCATCCGTATCAAGAGTGTGAGTAAAACTGGTATCTTTAGTCCTTCCCATCCCAATCTGTGTAGTAGTAGCCTATACTCATGGTTGAACGTCGCTGATCTGTTGATTGATAAGGGTATGACATGTATCGACCATCCGTCTCGGATGAACTTCAGCAGTTTTTCGATTTCTATTGCAAGCCTGGAATTGGCAAAGACACCAACTGGGAGTCCTTAACGCCTCGAGTCCGGCTTTCACTGCTTGGCTTTGAGGCAGATGGGAGTCCCGCCACGACTGTTCTCGAGAGGCCTAAGGAGAGCTACCCGCTTGCAAGACAAAGGCTACAAACTCTATACCTTGACGGGGAAAAAGCAAAATTAGTAGATGCAAGACCAGATCAGGAATCCATAACGTCATATGAAGGAAAGAGTTTGACTGATAGATTGGTGAGTCCTCTTATCTCAAAGGAGCATACACAGGACTGACAAATTGCTAGACCTTCACAGCAACATTTGACGTCGCAACTGAGCTGGCTGGCTACCCAAAGGCAGTGTTATACATGTCATGCCCTGACCATGACGATTTTGACGTTGTTGTGCAGATCCGTAAGATCGATAACATCGGCCGGCAGCTCTCGCATCTCAACTACCCATGTCCTGTTCTGATTGACGAGGTACCTGATGTAAACACAGCGAAAACTCTAGGTCCCCAAGGCTTCCTTCGAGCTTCTCACCACGCCTCACTCAATGGAGAAGGTGGACCTGTTGTTTCCGACGATCTGTCGCGTGAGACAGATGTTTTGTACAGTCACCGTGTTCGACAGCCCATCAGTCCGGGTACAATTGTCCGACTGGAGATCCCAATCTGGCCGATCGGGATGGTGTTTGCCGCTGGAGAAGGCATAGCGCTTAATGTTTCTGGACATGATATGTGCCTGCCTGAGACTGACTTGTGTCGCTTGAGAGAACCAGAGGATGAGAATGTAGGGCGACACTGTGTTCATACAGGAGGGAAGTACGACAGCCATTTGATCATTCCTGTGATTATGGGGTAGTGCCGTCAACTGACAGCAGCTGCAACACCTCGGTCGCGTCAATCGGGCGTGTTGAGAGTCCACCGTCTTCAGCGCTCAAAATCAGAGTCTCAGTGCATCTATCACGTTCACATTTCTTCCTCACTACCAAGGCAAGCCTCAGAAAGCAACGAAAAAAAGAAGCCTGTCAGACGTCCATCAATGCCCGCCCCAAAAACACGCCCGAAGGCAGACCATTCCGAGGGCCGAGATCATCAAGAGTAACATCTCTCTATACAGCAGCCACTCAAAAGAGCGAATTACCGCCATCCTTGCGGACAGATCGAGAGGACCAAAAAGTGTATTCACTCTAGGGCATCGAGGATATTCATTCATCAACCAGGGTGGGATCTGTGGCTCTTTTAGGGAACCAAGAGAAGGTCGAATACTATAGAAATGATTCTCTGAAGTATTGTCGACATGAAGAAGAAAAGAAGAAAAGTCCAAATGGTCGGCGGCAGAGCAGACTTTTATAGAGAGGTGCTGTGGATACAGTGACTAAGCCGGTTTGTTTAGCGAGTGCAGAGTTTTTTTTTGCTGGGCTCGGCGAGATTGACATGAGGCGGACTATCCAGCGTGCACGGTGGTGAAAACTCTGTTTCTCCTCAAACAGAGCCTCGTTATTGGTCTTCTTCTTATTTGCTAGTGTCATTTTGCTTTTCTAGAGGCAGTTGCCGTGTCTCAGGAAAGGGCTTTCGTTCTTCCGCTCTGCTACTGGGATTGCCTTCGCTATTAGTTAGTTCTCCACTCTCAAACTTTCCGTGTTCAAGTGTAGGGTATCTGGGGACCTACTGTTACAGCAAGTAACTTCACAAGACGCCTGAATATACTTGATGACTGTTAATTTGAGGATAGAACAGATGGGCATGACTTTGAGTCTACCTCAGAGTAAATCGCCGCAAGCTCAAGGCCCGTGCTTGGGACTTCCGTTCCGACACGGCCTCTCCAAATAAGTATCCAGCCACGTAACACTCTCCCACAAAAGTAAAACGTGTCATCACCCAAAGGTCGTAGAATATAAGGAACTGAGCCTCCAGCAACAACACATACTAGATCGCCTTTCCTAACAAGATTAGGTCCGATTCCTAGCAAACAGTTCGTCGCTCTGAATATCTGTCGGTCGCGACACACTTTGCTCACTGCCTGTCCATTGCCGCTGTCACCATCAGAGAACTCATGATCAATCTCGTCGAAGCCCGCCTCTTCATCGCCCTCAGATTCGCTGATAATGCTTTCGATATCCGAGTCATCTGAAACCGACATTTTGGCTGCGGCGTATTTTGGGATGGCTAAGAGAGATCAGGTGACCGTCTCAACTTTTCTGCGGGCAGAGTTCTTTCTCATCTTCTCAAGATTCCAGAGAAAGCGGGGAAGTAAGTTATTGTCAGACCTTTTAACTGAGCTGTAGCCTGTAACGCCACTTTCTGCCTGGGTTCGCACATGAGGCTGACACCGCGGCATGAGGCCAGTCGGGAATAAGCGAGCAAAACTGACTTTACATTTGAGAAAGTTTGTGTTTTTGTTGTCTATAGATCCATTCGATTGCGCATTAAGCTTTATTTTAGGCCAGTAGTCAAAAGCGTATTTCATTAAGCTCACATCTCCACAATCCTATAAAAAGGACGATCCTGCAACTGACCCATTCATTCTTTCATCCTCCAGACAACAACTTGAACTATAAAAAAGAAAGAAAAGTTCGACGCAGTACAATGTCTTACAAGGATCAAGACAAGCCTTCCCTGCCTCCCCAAGCCTTATTAAACATGGATTGTTTCTCTTCTCTTCCACCCGAGATCAATGTAATGATCCTGCTTTGCCTCAAGACCAGATCAAAAATCAAGCCGCTTCTCTCCGCATCACCTACAATGCTCCGGTATTATTGCGGATCCAAACTGTACATTCAGAAGGCTCACCTCGAAGCTGAGCTATCTGGGACCCTACTTCAAGACGCTCTGGTCGTTGCAAATTTCCCGTCGAAGAACAGACAGTTACACATCGAGAAATGGAGTCAGGGGCAGCTTCCGAACCCATTCTTGCACCATGATGCGGCTACCATCGATCGACTTGACAGACTCTACGCCCAATTCGCGAGATATATCGAGGACTATATCACAAAGGCCACATCTATCCATCCGCCTCGCGCTTATATGTGTATTCCAAGCCTTTGTTATCATGTCGACCAGCTGCAGTTTAGAGGCCAACCCATCGGCGTCGATATCCTCAGCGTCGATACGCTCACAGAACTTGAAAGATATCGTCTGTTTCAAGCATTTTTCAGATATGAGCTGGTATCCAAAATACGCGATGAGAGAGTCGCGAGCCTCGTTGCCTCAAATTTCAGGATGTTCAGCCATGGCGAGGCTGAAGCACTTCGATGCGTATACCAATACATGAGAGACCTTTATGGTGCTGTGTTTGCTCATCATGACACTTCTCAACTTCCTTACATACCGGCCGAAGCAGCCGGGGAGACACGCAAATTAGTTCCAGATGACGGAATACGATGCCCTAATAATATATGGCTGGGGCCACCTGAACCATTTACGAAGCATGCATTTCCTCAAAACCCAATATCGCAACAACTTGGATTGGCTGGATTCAGTCTGATGACTCTGCTGCTTAGCGTTCCCAGAGACGACAGAGGATGTCCGATGCAGTTCATGGCTACGATGCCCATGCACCTAAAGGTATCGGAATGGACTCGGTTTCTGCCAACGTTTAAAATCTTTGAAGAAGGGGTATACCATCCGCTAGATGACAGACGCTGGGACGATTGGTCAGAGGTCGGCCAAGCGCTCCGGGACAATGGTAGCATCACGTTCGCTTATGGGGTGCGCATTTGGTCTACTTATTTTGACCTACAGAAGAGAATCTACCGACAAAGAGCATGGGCATTCTTCGACCACGCTAAATATTATCCGGAAGGTAGTATATCTCGACATTTTCCAACCCTCGATCAGCTTGAAGGGAAAGCTTAGATCTATCGTGGTCTTTCATTTTGGGGCTTACTTATAAGCTGGAAACAAGCCATATAAAGAATATATCAAGTTTATCCTTAACTACAATACGTTACCCTGAGTTTACGTAGATGAAAGTAGAAAAACCAATGACTTCGATTTCGAGACCTCTATTCGTCAAGAACCCTGCCACAACTATGATATAACCATTAATAGCCTTTAGAGCTTCGAACTGCAGCATGTAGAGTCTTTCTTATCCTCTCCTACATAAAGCACACTCTTATTCTTCTCCTGCGTTGAAGGCGCGACATCCAACCCCGGATTTCCAGAGAAGAAGTTCACGGGCTTCAAGCCAACCATCATCTTCTCACTCGGCATGACAGGCCAATCTTCGATACGCGGGTTATGAGTGGAGCCGAAAGTATGCCAGATGACAATATCCTCGTTCCTCACGGAATGAGCAACTCCGGTGTTTCGGCGCCTCGCAATCACAGATGCCAAGCCGTCGCCTCCGGCTGATTGCATCGTGTATTTACCCGCAGGGAAATGATCGTTGTCTTCATACCTGGTTACCCACACCGCATGCTCCGCAAACTCCGAGCGCTTGGCGTGGAAGGATTCAGGGTGTGCGAGAAGCATCTGGCTGTAGAAGGGCATGAGCTTGAAGCCGACTGGGGTGCCGGTGATGGGGTTGATCTTGTTCTCGTTGACGAATTTAAAGGTGCGCGCTTTTGTAAAGTCAAGATCAAAGCCGCCCTCCTCTTCGACGGCCTGACTCTCAGTCACATAGCCTACGCCAAAAGGATTATGCACGGCCGGATCGTCGATAGGAAGCGGCTTGGACTCTTCGACTACGAGTGAGTTGGCATGACCATCAATCGCAGGGTCAATACGAAGGCTGAAAAGATGCTGATGATATGGTGCCATGACTCCAGGCGCCACGATGTTTCCATAAGGATATGTTCCCTTGTGGTCCATAGAGGTTGGCGCAGTGGAGAGAATGCCTGTTGCCCGAACCTCGTAGAAGATGGAAGCATCCTGACTGAAGTGCCAGGCAAAGATATACTCGTAGTTGGTAACAGTGATGATAGTCTGCAAAACCAAGATTCGAGACCGAGTTACGACCGGAACATTCGTGCGGAAGTTTGTATGCTTCCACAGAATTCCATCATCCTGTTCGTGACAGCAGACGACATTGGGTAGTTTCAGAGGCTCGCCCGATGACGTGTTGTGATAAGCGTCAAAGTATTTAATTGTCCCAAGGCAATCGCAGCCAAGCTGTAGATTGTTGGCATTGATACCAGCGCCATCGTTACCAAGATCGAACGCAGCCTTTCGTGGATACGGGGCTCGTGGATCGCCATATGGTACAAACATCTCAGCCAACGAAAGGCGATAGAAAAGACTTCGCCCATCATATCGAACGTCATGAAGAGTGAGGCCTTCTCGGTAGTTGAAGCCAACTCGGAGCTCCCATTTCTCCCAGGTCAGGCGATTGCCTTCGATATGGAATGAAGGACCTTCGGGCTGAGTTACATGTAGTGGTTTGGTAGTAGTCCTGGGGTTTGGTCGCAAGTCGGGATGATATTCGCTAGTCGCAGCAGAGTGAATTCTTCGACGATCAAATGGTCTTTTCTCGTTGTTTGCTCTTTCGTTTGGTGTAGTTGGTAGACGGTAAACTTTAATGACCCCAAGAGACTCGGATACCTCGGCGCATACATCCAAAGGATAAGCGTAATAGTTCGCATTGGGGTTCTCCAACAGTTGTACATAGAACCAGCACTGCTCGGTTTAGTATACCAAGCACATACGAAGCAAAGAGAAGCTTACCATGCTGACTCGATGGGTCATGTCGTTCATGCCATCCGTCGCATAAGCCCACGGCTCAACGACAACAGTCGCTCCTTCAGGTAGATCAAGTGTCTTTATAAGAGCCTGAACTTCTTCATTGGCGAGGCAAGCAGCTTCAACAGTTTTCATGTAATCAGTGTCGATGTAAGAATGCTTCCCTTCAACATGCTGCTTCTTAACAACTTTGTCATTGTCGAGGTCGACGATAAGTTCAAAAAGGTGATTCCCTTCGGTATCGGCCTTGATGGAAGCTTCCACTCGAGCATGGCGAGTTGGAATATGATCGATGGGTTGATTGAGATGTTCCTTTTCGAGATACGTGATCATTTCCTTCTTGGCGGGCTCGAGAAGAGTGATGACGCGGAAGTTAGGGTCATGATCGCCAAAGTGGGGACGCACGATGCGTGAAGCCTAGATACCTCAGCTTATCGTTGCTGAGATTGAGGATTATTCATTGATGAAGACTGACCCTTGAGATCTCCTCGGGCGACAGAGGGTCAAACGGATGAGGCGATGCAGCAGTCATTGTAGCGGTGTTGATGGTCTATGAGGCTCAGATTTAATGGCGGCGTGACTTGGTACGAACACAAAATATCACCAAAGATGCCCAACTTTATATATGAACAGAAGAAAGTCGACAAAGTGCGATGGCAAGTGGTGGATGACGTTGCGCCTTCTAATGACATCGACGATGCAAGATAAACTTCACGACCGGCCCGGTTGGTGTTTTTTGACCTTTATTCCTGATATCCCACCAAAAGCCCCAATGTATTGCCCGAGAGAAGGGAAACGTCACCAAAGCCTTGCCTTTGGAGGTTATAAAACGCGGTTCCCCTCTTGCCTCCAAAGGCAACGCGTCGCACTAGCGATTGCCATGTGTAGCTCGTTTTGCTGATCGAACCTCTAAAGGAAATATCGGTTCCGGGCCGGAACCTCTAGCTTATCTGTGTGACGGCCCGGTATCTTATCACAGATCATTCATGAGGTCTTGATAGACCCCTTTGACTCATTTGTTGAGCCTTGATAGAATGTTCGCAAATTCTGTTGCGGTCGCAATGTCGACGTGAACTCACGAAGCGCGCTCAAAGAAGAGCCTGGCAAAGAGCCCGCTGCTGTGCATAAAGAACTGAGACATAAGCTGAAAAGCTCAAAATTAGTTTCTCGAAATTTGCGCCCAGAAATTCGTATCAAAATTAGAATGTTGCACAAATTCAGCCTCGCTCGTGAGACCCAACCTCATTTTTGATCCTGACGCCACGCGGTACAACATAAGCATTTCGCCAAGCCAATCTCCAAGATCCCGTACCCAATTTTGGGTCTCATACGATAACTTAATCTTGATACAAAGCATCTCGCTCCCGAACGTTATAATCTGGGGCAGATAAGCGGATTCTGTGATAGTGGACCTTTGAGGGCCGTGCTATGAGTATAAGTGATGGTCCCATCAGTTCATTGCCATTTTTTGCATGAGCTTGGACAGAGGAGATGGAACCTCATGCAGCTGCCAATGACGAGACCCAGGGGCTGTGTTGATATTAGGGGTTATTGCCAAGCAATGCATGTAACCTTTGGCTAGTTGAGAAATGTATGTCTCACGTACCAAGATTCTCTAGACTGAGGTAAGCGCCCGTCAATTGGCTCACCGTAACTCCGAGTCCTGGATCATCACATCCGAAGGGAACATCGCATGGATCAAGATTTCCATGTCGACGACAACTGTAACCCCAGACCTTGCCCCGGAAACGGTGAATGAGCCGTCCGGCGGCGATGGGGTCTAAAACGCCGGTAACCGAAGACATGGATGGTAAAGGCTGTTCTTTGGCCAATCAACATTGGCACAATGAAGGTGAGCGCGTTGGCTTTCAGGTAGCTGGCGGTTTGAACAGCTTCCAGTGGGTTCGATGTTATTCCCATAAACGTCACAGGGGGGTCATCAAACGCTCAATCAGCTATTAAGAAAACAGTTATGGACTTTGATGGCAAATTCTCCATTCCCATTACAAATGAGATGCACAATTATAATTTGTTGGCGTATAGTAATGATCTGCTAAGATGACATCTGTCAAATCTGCAATGTTGCGAATCTCACATCTTGACAGCCAAGCATCATCAGCGCCGGGGCGCATTACATTACGAAACAACCCCAACAACTCAATCAAATTTGATTTGCTCCGCTCGTCCGGGATCAAGATCTGTCCAAAACCTCGGTAACAAAGTCTTGGAAGATGAGCGCCTCTCTCTTGGCTTCCAAGACAAACCCCAACTGTGATGCTGTAATTGATTGTCTGGGCAGAGCGACAGCAACATAACAAGAAAAATTAAGGCTCAATTTAGGGCTCGTCTAGCGCGTCGGGCATTGATTGCCGAATGCGGAGAAAGGCCATAAACGTGATCGGAGAATTGCCACCCGAGCCTTGTTTTAGCCCGCCCTGTGAGGAGTCGGATCTTGTAAACTCTTACATACAACAAAGATAAACTCATTAGCTAAAATGCTACCGAGAGACAAACCAGGATCGGAGAAGACAAAGAATCTAAGCCACGCGAGTTCCACGTGTCATCTAAAGGCTAAAAGCATCAGCGTGCATCGTTGGGATGAGGGGAAGAGGAATATCACAATCCTTCCCAGCACGTGGAGGCAAAGATTGTCATTCTTGGAAGAGATGTCATCACTGACACAGCAGAGAACAGACTTTTTGTCTGCATATAACCGCCAAGTTTTATTGAAAGCATCTTGCCTAAATGAGAGTGCATTCCATTTGACCGAGTCATTGGCAGCCAAGAGCAACAAACAGCGTCGACGAACCAACCAAGCTTACTCGCCAAGATTGGGATGCGTTATTATGACTTCCCCATACAAGATGCCAAGTTCCGCCAAGTCGCTGGGGTGATGCTCACCTGATAACGAGCTCCAATGCTTCCATGTTTTGTGTGGGTATCAGATTCATTTTCGTTCCCACCCACTAACACCTTGGCTATTGCTTGGCGAAATTGGTATTCCCGTCGTAACAGGATTTACTCCGCGTGCTCCGCAAAAGCTTAGCCCCCCATCCCCAGCTTTCGACTTCTTGTCTCTCCCTCCCCCAAAGAATCCACAGACGATGACTGCTTCTTCTTGGCGGTCTGGGGAGACTCCAGGATCCTCCCTTTGGACCGGGTTTCCTTCGTAATTT